GGTTGTTTAGGCTGTGGTGCTACTGCAGAAGAAATAGATTGGCAGCCTGGGTGGAGGCAGGATTTGGGCTTTGATCTGCATCCGTATGGTTGATTGTGAAGCATGCTTGGTTTATTTGCTTGTCAGCTTGAGCAGTGTTAGACACAACAGTAAGAGCGTGAGGTTAGTTCTGTGGTAAGAACAAGCTGTAAAGCCTTAAGTGCTAGGCATAAGGAGCCTAAACTTTCTAGTTTTAATTCAGGCTTCCCTGGGTATGCAGCAGACTTCACAGAAATACCTAAAAGCTCCATTAAGAGACTTGAGTGCACAAATAGTTGGGGATGAGGTGGTCTAAGCCAGGCTGGCCGAGATGCTTCTCCTAGGAACATGAAAGTTTAAGTAGCTCCTTTCCTGCAATTAACAAGAAGCCTACAATTATCAAGAATTTAAGCTGGATATTTAATGGCTTTGATTGTAAAAGATTTGCCAGGGCTGTGTTTGAAACTGAAGTGGACTGCTGAGGCAGCCCAGGAAGTGAAGCGTCAGCAGGATGCCTGAAAATTTGTCTTTCTTCTGGAAACAGCATCTTGCTAACCTAAGAGCAGCCTGCAGAATGCACATCATTAATAACCCTCCTTGTCAGCAGATGACTAGATAATATTACAGCTTTGGAGGAAGTGTTATGTTCTTGCTTACAAGCAAGTTGTGACGTCTATGTGAAGCCAAGCAGTGTGTGGGCTTCTTGTGGCTCGGAGGTGTGGCTTCTGAGCCAGCTTCAGTGGTTGTCCTGACACAGGGAGTCAGTCACTTCAAACATGTTTCCTGATTTAGTGTTAGGTCAAGCTGCATCTCTCTCTGCTGTAGCTGCACTTACCTATAAAAATAGAAGGGCATAATTTGCTAGAAATGGTGGATGTGGGAGTGAAGGGAGCAAAATGTCCTTGGAGTTGCAAGAATCTTTTGAGAAGCCAGTTGTCCTTGGCAGGCCAGAAACTGGTAGTGACAAATAGCGGAGGTGATGCATCATGTTCCCCATTTTATGACCTTTTTATGCCCAAGGAAAATAGGATCTTCAGTGTGGTATTTCTGAGGGTTTCTTTGTCCCCTTTTACTTCTGCATTAATGTGATGTTTCAGAACTGAGGGAGGATTCAAATAACTATCTGGGAAAGAAAGGCAGCAGGTGCTGCACGCAAGCTCGGAGCATTTCAGTCTTGAGAGAAAAAGCACACAGATACAGCTAATTCTATTATGGAATGTAGGTGAAAATTAAGTGCCACACTTAATCAAGACATCTCTTTAAAGTTAACTTTTTCATTGAATGCTCAAGGAGTTGAGGAAATAGACCTGGAACAAAAAGACTTTGAAATCTGTCACATGTAACAGATTTGCATAATAGGGAAAAAAAAAAGAAGAAAGGTATTATTTATTTTGGTTTTAAGATACCTTAAGCTCAGCACTGGGAATCCTACTGTAGGACAGCAGGAATAAGATGCTGCTGTGGGCAGGGTTTCGGGAGGAAGCAGGACTACTCAGTAAAATAACCATTTGAAAGGTTAGTTAACTGATGGTGCTAAGTTGTTAATAAATGATGATGGATTTTGGTTAAATAATAGAGTTTATGAACTAGTAAGGTAGTTGAAGTAATGTTTGCAGCAACATTTACAAGTAGACCTCCCAGGAGCAAATGTTTCCTGTAAGGGTTTTGTCTTAGAGAGTCTGTATTAGGTTGTTGAGTTTTTGTTTGTATCAAGGTACAGCAGTGCATGCTGTTAACCAGCTTCACATATGGTGAACTGCGTAAATGCATGGAATTCTTGTAAGTTATTGCCAAAATTGCTGGTATTTCCATAGCACGTGATGATAAATGCAGTCTGCATTTATCCTAATTGCTTTTCCTTTTGGATGCCTGCCTGCCTTTTGCGTGAAACCATTTCCTGCTGTCTTAGCATTGCCATGCTGAATTTGAGATGTAGTGATCAGAGAAGTAGTGTAGGCAGATATGAAATGACTTATTTAAAATGGTTGATGGGAGCAAATCATTGTGTATTCTGTTGTTACAGCTTTTGCCAGGTCATGGGAAGAAACCAGTGATTCTGGGAAGGGGGTAGCAGGGATTAAGTGGTAAGTGTTCCCCATATCTGGGTAGAGCTTTCTTCATCAGCTTGGGGAGCTGCACATGCCCAGTAGTAGTTTGTATGATGAACTTGCAGACTTTGCATGGGGCAGCTTCACCAGACCAGTTACAGCGGTGAAGTTTTTCATTCTTGATCATTGTATGAAAAAGGTAGTGTTGCAGAAGAGAGGCTGATGTATGTTAAGTTTTGAAACATGGTGAAAGGAGGACTTAAGGTTTCGGAACTAGGGGTTCTGTGTAAGCAGCAAGGAAGGATCTCTTTCTTATTTCTGATAAATGAATGTCTTGAGAGCCTTGGAGTGGGGGTAAGTCTGTGTAAACCTTCAGTTTACTTTTTTTTGAAAGTATTAGGAGCTGGTTTCCCCATTGTCTAGTTAGCAAGGTAGGAAGTGCTGTGCTTTTGCTTAGCATGTGCTGGTTTTCTTCTGCCTACACTGATACATGTGGAAAGATAACAATACCAGTTTCTCTAGCTCTTCAGTTGCTGTATTACCTTGTGTCAGTCCTGTCTGTGTGATCATACACTAAGGCAGTTGTCAGATGTTTAGATTTGTATTAGGTACATACTGGCATGGTGGCTGTGAACTGGATATGTTCCCAAAGATAAAAATTTGTATCTCTTAAGTTATTAGTTGAAAGATCTGGAGGTTTTTTTTGCTTGGTGGAGTTTCTTTTTTGTTTGCTTTCTCTTCAGAGCTGGTTTGAACCTGGCCTGGCAGCAAATGCAGGTGGCTGGAGGGGTGAGAAGTGAAGGGAACTCCCTGAGCCATAGAAGCTTCATACTCCCACTGGGAGGCAATTATTTTATTTAAGGTTTGGATCTGGTATCTTCGTGTAGGGTGAAATGCAAATGACTGGGTGCATGTTAGCAAGGTCCTTTAACAGAATATATATGGGAGTCATATGTTTCCTCTTCTGACTTTGGGCTCAGTTGTATTTAGTATCTGACTGCATTAGTATTGTTTTGGGGTTTGTGTGAATGTATGTGGCCTGTTGTACTGTATCATTCCAAGATCCCTATTAGTCCAGCCAAGTGCTTCCTTATCAGGTTAGAAAACAGGAAGAAACTCTGGAGGCTGGAAGCGGGAGGATGCTGCTGCAGTCAGGGTAGCACCAGGACCGTGTAAATCTTCAACCAAATGGATTTGTAGAATCTCTTCAATTCCCAAAGATGCACCTGCAAAGATGCTGTTACCTGGCAAAAAGGTGTTGTTACCTGGGCAAAGCTCATTATTTTATCTCCAGTTTCAGTATGTTTTCTTCCTCATTGCTCTTGTTAAGGTCTAAACTGAACTTGATGAGCTGTTGGACAGTTTTGTCAATATGCTTGGCAAATGAGATGTTTGCAATCACCTGTCACGTATTTTTGAAAGAACAATTTTTATTGTGTTCTTTGTTACACATTGTGTCTCTGCTAGAGCTGTTTGTGTCCAGGATTCTAGAAATGAGATCATCGTTAATTTTCTGTTGATGGCTGTAGTGTGGCGTGGTGGGGGGAATGACATGCAGAATTAAGTTTTAAAGTGCTTCTGTGTGACAGCATAGCTATGCTGGCATTGCCCAAGGAGAAGGTACAACCGTTGTGTGTTCAGCATGTGGTTTAAGTATTTAGTGAGCTGGAGAGAGAACATGATGCCTCACTAATAAAAATTTCTGTTTAGTCCTGTAGAGAGATGGTGAAAAATCATTCAAGTCTTTTATATAAAGAAATGAGAACTGGATAATACTTGCTGTGAAAACTCTGCGGTCTGGGTTTCATAGCTTTCCACTTACTTCCATTGGAATTTGGAGCTCAGTTTTCCTTTTCTGACTGAAATCTTCTCAGCTCATACACTAAACCACTCAAAAATACTGGGTGATTTGACACTTTTTTTGCAAATACGTAATTTTACACAACGTGTTTCTGTCACGTTAAGGGATAATGTACATCCAGGCTTGCTGCCACCATTTAAAATTCAAATGTCTGAGTTTTTTTCTAAGTCAGTCCATGTTTTCCAAACAAAATTACAGGCAAGAAAATATTTATATGAAAGTTTTAAAAGTTGTCATCCTTAGTTCTTTACTAACCGGGGGACTGAAAGGTCTGTATGCTATGACAGCAGGGGAAAATGGCAGGGATAGTTCAGGGGAAATGTGGAAATGTATCAGCAACAGCTAAAGCGTTAATGTATTTTTGAGCGGCTGTGTTTTCAAAGCCAAGTTCGTAAACAATACCTGATAGTGGAAAAGTTACTTTACGTTGGTAGGTAGGATAATATTCTGGATCAGCTAGGCCTGCAGAAAGTATGCTTTCCTAAATACTAGCAGCTTGGTTTTGAGGGGTTAATAGTAATTACTTATACCTCATTTGGAAAGTCAGAGCTCTGAACAGGCCCGTACCTCCTTACTACACTTTAGTAGGTGTGATGACATTTCATGTCTGAAGGTGGATATTAGAACATGGAATTTTCTGTTAAATAGTATGTTTGATTTACCAGGGTAAGCTTCCTCAGTGTTCAGAGTAAAGAAGGCTTCTGTTTGGCTTGGGTGCTATCCTTGATAAGCAGCTGTCCGAATTCTGGGGAAGGAAGTATTTCTGGTCTCACCTTCCCTGTGATCCAGTTTGCCCAGAGAGGGAAGGGAGCCTGAGCATTCCCACTTGTCTGACTGGCTTAACAGCAGTGTGAGCAGGTGAGAGGGCAGGGCAGTGGAGAATCATTTAACTGTTTAAAACAAGTCAAAGCATCTGTACTTTTGCATCCCAGTCTGTGTCAAATATCCTTTTCCCACATGAAAATACGGGATTGGGAAAGTGTTTAGTATTAATCCTGTGCTTATGCGTGCCTTGTTTGCTTCTTTCTTTTTCCTTTCCATGAGTTCTCTAAACATCTCCTCTTCTAACACAGTGGTAGTCGCTCTTCCAAAACCTTCAAACCAAAGAAGAATATTCCAGAGGGCTCTCACCAGTACGAGCTGCTAAAGCATGCGGAAGCTACGTTGGGAAGTGGTAATCTCCGGATGGCCGTTATGCTTCCAGAGGGTGAAGACTTAAATGAATGGGTTGCAGTGAACAGTAAGTGGGCTCTTTTTTTTCCTCTCTTTTTTTTTTTTTTTTTTTTAATTAAATGGGGGGGGGGCATGTTGAATATGGGTAGACACTTGTGGGAGGACAACTCTGTACTCCTTTCTAGTAGCGTGTCTTCTTCTATCCTGTGTGCACCACTTGCTGTGACTGGGAGAGGTGAATGTAGTACTGTGTAGAGCTGACAGATGCAGTGTGTCTCCCAGAGACAAAAACTCTTAAATCTCCTTGTGTAAAAAAAATATGTTCCTGTTAACAAAACAGTTCTTCCTCTTGGTGCTTAAACTCTGAGCACTTGATCACAAACAAATGCTGAAGTAGAAGTTTCACTGCTGTTTTTAGAAAGTAGCCTGTCAGTGCCATCTTAATATGTTTAATCTAGCTCTTCTCCAGCTGGGGTTCTTACCCAATAGTATAGTTAACCCTCTCTGAGCTAAGCATAAACCCTTAATTTAGTTAAGCGCGAAGACCTTAAATGATGCTAAAGACTATGGTCGTGTGTATGGCCTGGCTTTTCTTTTGCCTATAACAAACCCAGAGATCCATCTTTACAGTGTTTCTAATGTTAGTTCCTTCCTTTTTTTTCTACCAAGTTGTGAGCCTTTGCCCTGATAAGTGTCTGATGTCATTATTTTTGCTCCCTCTAAAGCTGTTTGTCCTAACCCTGTGCTTCATGCTAGGTCAGGCCAAACAATGAGGCCCAAATTAGTGTTTTCTGATTGCCTGACCATGTTTCCTCCTTCCTCTCCCTGCTGCGTGAATTTGCTGCCTGCCTTCCACTCTTAAAGAGTGGATTAACCCAAGTTCTGTCATGCTCAGTAGCCTATGTGGAGTTCTGGCTGCTAGACTCTGTGCCCTCTCTGGTTATTTCGTTATCTTTCAGGTCTTTGGCTTGGCCTTTTTCTGTGATTGCATAGTATTGATTGTGCATTGCAATGCAGTATAAATTATGCTCAAGAGAAATGTCTTCTAATTGTGGTTCTGTTTCCTCTTGCTCTTTGACATGTTCAGGAAGTGAAACTGTTGTACTGGTTTCAACCTTCAGTTCTGAATGAGCCACACAGTGTGCTGGTATGTGACCTGCCACTGTTTCCAGGGAACGATGAAATTGCTGACACCATTCTTTAGGAGAGTCTATTCGTATGGTATTGCAAAACTATCTAGAAAAAAAAAAGCCATCCCATTTTTCTGAGTAAGCATTACTAAAGAGGCTTCTGATATTGCTGGCATTCTTCCCGTTTGGTGCTTTCTTCACTCCCCACCTGCCTCTTCTTCTCTGTCTGTGGCAGTGGCATTTTTCCCTTCCCAAATGCTAAATGAGCTGGATGACAGAAAGAGTGGGAGCTGCCTTTGGGTAACAGCTGCATTCTGTAATGAAATGGTCCTTGGTCGTGACTTCTTGCAGCAGAGCTCTAACGTTGTTGGTGTGGGGTTTTTTTTGTTTGTTTGCTTTTGTTTGTTTACAAGTGGTTAACTGATTACATTCTCCATTTACAGCATTTCTCTACCACACCTAGTACCAGCTAATGGTAGCAGTGAACCCCCTTCTGTTGATTGAGATATCTAATAAGGAAATGTGGGACTTAATGTCCTTGGGTTTGACCTTTGCAATAGTGAAAGCACAGGAAAGCATGGCTCTGCTCTTCTGCTTCTTGCTCAGCTCTTAGCCTTACTCATGTTTTCTGGCAGTGAGTTGGTGTACATGTAGATTTTTGAAATAAGTTTTAAAAATATAAAGGTAAAAAGTCTATAATCAGTTTGGTTTGAATTTAATTTGAAATCTCCTTGATTTGAAAATACCAAAAATTAATTCCGTAATAACATCCTGCCCATACCTTTATAATAGAGCACCAGGCAGCGTGCACTTTTTCCAATAGAAAAGCACTTGGAAAAAATAGTCTAAGCCCTCAAAACTTCAGAGCAATGGGTAAAAAGAGGAAATGAAAATAGGCAGAGACACTGTACAGCTTTACACATGCTGGAAAGGAGGTCCTTGGTTTTTCTTGGTTGTTGCAAACTGCTGGCTGTTGGTGGTGAATGGGTGGTATGTCTCCTGGCCTTTTGAGACTTGGCGTGTGGGATTTGCAACAATCAGTCATCTTGTGGATGTCTGTGTGGGTTTTGCGAACATGCTTGCCTGAAGCAAACCCTGGTCTGTGGTTTCCACTGGGATCAGGGAATGGAAAATTAATTAACAGTTCTTGCGTACACTTAAGGAACAAGAGCTGTCTATAACCGCTTCTTCCTGTGTTAACTGCCTCCTCCCTCTGCCCAAACAAGCTGTAAGAGTCCTCCTGGGCCTCTGTAACTGCTGTCTACCTTTCCCAATGTTGTTTTGCTGTTTTCTGCCTTAGCTGTGCTGGGGGGAGAAAACCCACCCAAATTTTGTTGCTAGAGATGAGCTGTGCTAGGAGCACGGTGTACCAGTTTTTATTTGCTTCCCTTTTTTAATACCTGGGAAGTTGCATGACACAGTTGTAGCTCGTATCTTGCATCTGCTGTAACTTGCTACCATGATGGTCATGTAATCTTTGAAGTTTAAGGAGCTGCAGTATTTAACACTTGCTTTCCGTCAGCCATTAGTTCCTTTCACAGTACCTGGTATCTGCTAGTGCTTACATTTGGGATGCCAGTTTCCACCTCACAGCAAACCTGTATGTGTCTGTAACAGAGTTAAGCAAGGAATGCACATTTGGGTAGGCAGGCACAATACTTTTAGCAGCAGAAGCAATGTAGCCTGGACTGGGCACTGGGGCATTAAATCTTTATCTGTGTTATACATGGTTCCTTTCAGGGTAAACCTGTGTCAGCTGAATTTGCAAAGCGCTGTGGTTAAACAGGAGTGGAGCTCCACCACACTTGATTTGGGTTTTTATATGATTGCCGAGTGTCATCCATGCATCAGAAAGGATGCATAAGGACGCCAAAGGACACCAAAACTAGTCCCACAAGTCTTGGGTTCCTGTAGGCTTGTATTACATGGGTTCATCCTAAAGCAGAATTTACAATTTCCATTGTCTGAAAGACATTTTGGAAAAACAAACTTATATATTGATGCTGTGGTAACATGCTGTGCTCCCCAACAGATGCAAGGGCAGAGGACATTAATTGAGGAGAGATAAAGTGCATTTTATAAGTGATTACAATGTCTGCAGTTCTGAAAAGCAGGACCTGCTGTTAGGTTACTGAAGAAGAGCCTTGATTTCAAAGAGTACCAAGTAATCAAGCACCTCTTTAAAGTAGTAAGAACTATGGGAATATTTAGATACAATAAGTTTTAGTCTTTTGGGAATTCAACTGTAGACCATTTAAAAACAAAGTTTTGGCTAAGAGAACTGCTTTCTCAAACATGTAACAAAACTGAAGCAATAACCAACCACCCCCCAGAAGACCTCCCATACCTGCAGTGTTTTGACCATACCATAACTAAGAGAGGGTGGATTTATATTAGACATGAGGAAGAAGTTCTTCCCTGTGAGGCTGGTGAGGCACTGGCACAGGGCGTCCAGAGAAGCAGTGGCTGCCCCATCCCTGGCAGTGTTCAAGGCCACGTTGGACAGGGCTTGGAGCAACCTGGTCTCATGGAAGGTATTGCTGCCTGTGGCGCAGGGGTTTGGAACTGGATGAGCTATAAGGTCCCTTCCACCCCAAACAAGTCTGTGATTCTATGAAATGTTCTTTGAAAAGACAGTCTCTTGAAATGCAAAGCCTGAGGGAAGTCAGTGTCACCTAATGAGTAACAGCTCTCTTTTGCTGGAAACTTTACACTGAAAGTCTCGGTTTTATTCCAGACTAGCCAGTAGAATTTGGGATGGTAATAAATTGCACCAAACTTTCAGAAAAGGAAATAACTCTGCTTTCTCTTTCCCTTCTTTTAAAGAAAGATTTTGCAGCAGTGAACAATTAAATAGTCATTGCTGGAGGGTGGTGTAGGACATTGGTGGTTGCATTCTGCATCTCCTTTATGATGCATTTTAAAAAGCGGTAACAGTGAAGTTTTTTCACAGAAAGCATTCCAGGACCCTCTGAGCAATGTGTGCTGTTAAGGCTGCAGAAAGCTGGTGTTGCTGTTATAGTGCAGATTGTTAACTGATGGTTTAAATGCTTTTACAGCTGTTGACTTCTTCAACCAGATCAATATGCTGTACGGAACCATTACAGACTTCTGCACGGAGGAGAGCTGCCCAGTGATGTCTGCTGGCCCAAAGTAAGGTCTTCTTTCATGTGTTATTGAGAAAATGCAAATTTTTAGACGATTTTTGCATTTGAGAACTTGATACTGCCTCAGCCAAGTGCCAGAGATAAAGTAACTTTTGTGGGTGGAAAGGGTGTCCTCTTGGACTACTGTATACAGTTCGGGTGTCCCCAGTGTAAGAAGGACGTGGAACTGTTGGAGCAAGTCCAGAGGAGGGCCATGAGGATAAGGGGGCTGAAGCACCTCATGTATGAAGACAGGCTGAGAAAGTTTGCCTGGAGAAGAGAAGGCTGTGTGGAGACCTCAGAGCAGCCTTCCAGTATCTGAAAGGGGGCCTACAAAGATGCTGGGGACAGACTCTTCATTAGGGACTGTAGTGACAGGACAAGGGGTAATGGGTTAAAACTTAAACAGGAGTTCAAGTTATATGTAGGAAAGAAGTTCTTTATTGTGAGGGTGGTGAGGAAATGGAACAGATTGCCCCATCCCTGGCAGTGTTCAAGGCCAGGTTGGACATGGCTTTGAGCAACGTGGTCTAGTGGAAGGTGTCCCTGCCCATGGCAGGGGTTGGAACTGGATGATCTTAAGGTCCTTTCCAACCCAAACCAGTCTATGATTCTGTGGTTCCTGTTACCCATGAAGGGATGAGAAATTGGAAGCTTTAAGGGAATGGGGAATGAAAAGGTGGGTTTTTTTTAGGGTAAGGGTTTTTTGTTTATATTTCTTAGTCCTGGAAAGTAAACTCATTATCAAACTATTTTTTTTTCCTTTTATTTTTTACTGAAATGTTAATGAGGGCTTTTAAATTTAAGATCTGAAGTTTTTATTGGCAAACACTCACTTGGGGGTTACCAAAATATTTCCTTTAGGTGTTTGAGTAGGTATTGTAGAAATAAATCGGCTACAGATTTTAGTAGTCTGAATAAGAATCCCCTACCCTGTTCCTCAGTGAGGTTTCACTTCTTTAATTCTTGCTTATGCTTTTTTTGTACAGACATCCAACATGTCTGTTTTTTCTTGCTCTCCAGCTGCCTCTTTCAGAGGAAAATACCTGCCTTTCTCAGTGAGTGGCAAGGGAGGGCGCTGCTTCCTTTTAAATAAACAAAAGTGAAACCAAGTCCTCTCCTCCACTTCCTCCTGTTACTGTGTGAAGCCAGGAATTTCTGGTGGAGAGCTGAGGATGGACCAAGGCTGCTGCTGGGAAGGCAAGATGGAGAGGGCAGGAGCTCTTCTAGTTGGAAATAGCTTGAAGGACCAGGAAAGGCCTTGGCACTACAATCCTGAACTAAAAACAGAAGATGCCAGATGCCAAACCAGACCCGCTGCTGCAGCATGGGAAGGGGTGAAGTATGAAAGGGAGAGCAAGTTCACAGTATACAAAAGAACTTGTGCAATACCATAGCCTATTGTCTGCTTTGTTCTTCGGCATGCAGAGTGGACTCTTCAATTGTTAGATAAGAGCATGAAAATATTTCTTTGCTTTATTGTTTGCCTGCTGTGAAGTAGTTATTTGGGGGTGGAGGTTAATTATTAAAGGTTTAGCTGTCTGGTTGCCAAGCTAAAGAGTTTCTCTCCAAAGAGGCTGATAACCGTTGCCAGAAATATATAACCTACTCAAATAGTTATGAAGCAGGGTAGAGAAGAGATGCCTGATGCTTGAAGATGCATTCTGACAAGATTTTTATTAGGTGATTTTGTTCTTTAGTTGGAGTGAATGTGGCTTGCTTTTGCTTAAAACATTGTTTTCAGGGAAGTACTGCTGGAGAACCTGTCAGCTTGAAAACACTGAGATGTATGGGTTTTTTCTTCTGGTTCTTACACCTCTGTCCTGTTCTCTTCTGGCTCAATCTGTGTTAATTGAAAAGGCATTGAGCCTTAGGTAC